GTAATTAAAACCCTCATTCCATTCCAATTCAGTTCTATCATTAATATTCATTAAAGTCTTAACATCTTTAACATTTCTTTTCAATTAAATATCATACTTCCTTAAAGACACGTATAATCTCCATACTTAATTTTTCCCTTATTTCTCTTCACATATATTTTAAAATAATTAAATATTCATTTTGTTACATTTATTTATTGACACACATTCCATTAAGTTATGATAACTATTTTATCAAACATTTTAATCATACATTGTTTCATATTTTCTGAAGTTATTTCTATTTCTAATATAACAATACTATCTTGTGTACCTTTGCAGAATCCCTTTTTCAATTAGATTTTCACCCATTATCTCAAAAATAGGCCCTCTTTCTCTATATTTTGTTTCTGTCCTTTATAACTTCTTTTCCTTTCTTTCTTCTCTCTCTTCTTCTCCCTCCCCTTTTTACCCCCTTGTCTCTCTACTTCTACTTCTCTCTTCTGCATTTCCCTCTTCTGTTGCTTTCTGATTTTATACTTATTTTTCACTCTATTTTGGGGGGGGTTGTTTTTCCCAATCTTAAACTTTCCATTCTCTTTTTTCCCCTTTCCTTTTTTTTCCCCACCTGAGATTACTTGTTCATTAAAGATGGCTTCTTCTTTGTCCCAATCTTCTTGTTCTGCAGTCATTTCTTGTTGTTTCTCATAGTTCCAAATCTCCATTTCCAAGAACTGAAATACAAAGCCAAAAGAACATCTCCCTTCTTGTGCATCTTCTTTGTACTTTTTAAGTTCCATTTTCAATTCTTTTAAAAGTGGAGCCATTTTAAACACTTTTAAACAACCACCCAATTTGATTTTAGTCATTCAAATGCAGTAACCAAGAATCCAGAGATTACCAAATAATCCAAATAGTCCCAAGCTGTTTCTTCTTGTTTCTTTTTTCACTTTCTCTTCCTGGGGTTTTACTATTTTGTTGTGATGTTTCAGTTAAGATGTATCTTTTGGAAGTCTGTGGCTATTCCACCATTAAGCAGACATTGTCAAACACGGATACAGGGATGTTTGCACGTATCTAATGACCTTGTTTTAGCCAACTGAAAAATGTTTCAATATGATCACGAAACACTGACTGTTGTTACTTTTCTTCTCAGGACACGTTAGCCCAGTATGATAAGCATATTTGCAAGCTTGCAAACTATCACATACTTTGTTCTTTGTTCTTTGTTTATGATCTTCTTCCATATAAGGTAAAACTCTGCTACCCCCTGTGTGCTCCCCCACCCGCTTGAAAGAGGATAATAAATGAGGTTTGTACAGAGCACCCGAGGTTCCTTCTCCAGCTCCCCGTTCCTTCTCCAGCTCCCCATTCCTTCTCCAGCTTCCCCTCCTTCTCCTCCTCCCCCTCCTCCTGCTGCGGCTGCTGCTGCCTGGGTCAATCCATCTGCCCCGGGTGTGAAGTGCTCCCTCCTATGAAAACAATCGGATGTCTGGTGTCTGTTATTGGTATTCACCCTTGCGAGGGTCCCTCTAAACTTCTTCCCTGCGGGGAATTCCATAGGCAGCGAAAGAACGCAGACGGAACAACGGACCAGTCGCTCGCTGCGACAGAAGTCTTGTTGAGATTTTACTGTAAGTTCTTTTTAATTCCAGGCAGTCTCCTGCCTTCCAGATCCTGCCCTTTTATTCTTTTTCTCTCCTTTCCTGTTTTCAAAAGCTTTTAATCATCCAGAAATCTTTATTATCCCTTTGACTTTTTATTTTCAGCATTAAATGCCTATTAATGTCAAAGTGGATTTTTTTTCCAATTCCTTGCTTAAGTCTCTTAGCTGTCAGTATAAGAAGACAAGAAAAAAAAAACAAATCCTTTCCCTTTTCTCTCTCCTTCGCTGCTTAGAAATGTTCTTTGGGAACAATATTATTATTTTTTTATATAGTTTAAATTCCAGGGTACCTTATTTGTTGCTTTTGCTGTTTGACCTAGTCAACCAAAACTTTCTCTTCTTATCTTCCTCCTGCACATTCTTTTCCGGTCGAGTTCTTCTTGGTGGTGGCCATTTCTGACCACCGCTGCAACTGCCTTCAGGAAAGGGAGTAATGGCCAGCTGAGGAGGAGAGATGCAGCTCTCCTCAACCCTGCAGGCAGTCTCCCCCTTCTTCACCACCTGTATGGGGTGGCTTAGCCCAAAAACAGCTGGCTCAGGGCACCCCAGCAGTGAGCACGGATCAAAACCGCACAGAGTCATGGTTTCGGTCTGTCACCGAAGAAGCTCAAACCGGAAGCAGAATCTTTTTAAGATTCTTTAATTCTGGGGATAAGAAGTCCATGTGAGCTTCCCTTGTACAGATATCCTTTTTGCTCACATAAGATTTCTTTCCATTTTACTTTTTTTGTTTTTGTTTCCTGAAGTTAGTTTTGTTTTGTTTTTGACTTCAAGTCACTGCTGACTCTTAACAACTTCTTGGACTAGTCCCTGAAGTTTTCTTGGCAAGTTTTTTGTTTCTAGAAATGATTCTTCTTCTGCTAATGTTACCCAATTGGCTTTGTCCCTAAGACAAACTAAAACTCTCGTACCTTAACTACTATACTAAATTAATTCCCTCCTGAAGATAGTATTATTAAGTTAAATGTTGGGATTGTATGTAAAATTTGCATTTTCAGTCCACCTGATACTTTCAAATATTCAGGCAGAGCATGGAAAAGACACATTCATGCATACAATATCTCTTCCTCTACAATGCTTTTATCCTCACCTGACACCGTAGATCCAAAAAACTAAAAAGAGTTTTGGGTGTAGTACATGTTCTACTCTGGTTTCCTCCAGCTAACCAGTAAATAACCCTATTGTCTCCAGGATTTACTTTCTGAGAAACCAACTATTTTGCCAGTCATTTAGATCAGCAAGGGAGATCCTTTTGAAGTTAGCCTACTGCCTACCATAGAAAATGGCCTTCTCTTGTATGCAATGAACCTCCTATATCTATATCATGAGCCATAGAGAGTATTTGGATACCACTCCCCCAAGATTTAGGAAAATTTTGAAAAGATCCAAGCTGTTAAGGGCTGGTTAAATTTAATGATAGTGATTCGTTTGCTTTGGTTTTAAATATTTTACCTTTACTCAGAGGTGAAATGTTTCCAGTTCAACCTGTTCACTCAAACTGGTAGCAAAAAATGCTACCAGTTTGGCCAAACCTGTATTTCTGATGATCAGCTGGGCGACAATCAACTGTGATGAATGATTTAGATTAGCTAGAAAGCAGGAAATTGTCAGTTTTCTTGCTTTCTAGCTCATCTAAATTGTGTGGCACAGCTGATCTCCCCCCTTGCTGTTGTACTTACCTCAGAAGGCTTCAAAATGCTTCTTTTTTAAGCACCCAGGCGGCTTCCCTGAAGACCAGTAGGCCAAAAACAGGGCATGGGGAGTGACCCCCCCTAGTCACATGACCACATAGCCGCACCCACCCAGTCACATGCCCAATGGCCATGCCCACCTGGCCACGCCCACAGAACTGGTAGTAAAATAATTGAATCCCATCACTGCCTATACTTTAATATTTCATTATTTGTATTTTAATTACTAAATATGCTATCTCAAGAATTGTTAAATGCAATTTTATGTTTGTTTGTTTATGGTCCAAATTGATCTCCTTTTTTAAAAACAAAAGAGTGAAATCAACTAATCAACTAATTTTCCAAAGCACTAAAAGGCAAGGCAAGAAACAATGAACGAAAATTAATGAAGGAGAGAAGCAACCTGGAGTTAAGGAGAAACTTCCTATCAGTGATAACAATTAACCATTGGAACAGTCTGTCTTCAGAAGTTAAGTGCTTCATCACTGGAGATTTTTAAGAAAACACTGGACAGTAGCCCGTCTGAAATGGTATGGGGGTCTCCTATTTGAGTAGTGGATTGGATAGAAGGTCCCTTACAACTGTATTCTGATTGAATAAAAAGAAAGAAAGGTATAATGACAAACCACTTCTGAAAAACCTTGCCAAGGAAGGAAAAACCTTGCAGGAACTTATCCAGCCATTCTCTAAGAATGGACACACTTGAAAATAATCAATTTGAAGAAGAAAAAATAAGAATCCCAATCCTTACTGGCATCTAGTAAAAAGCATGTATGTCTTCAGAATACAAGCAGGGAATTTAAGCATGATTTTAGAAAGTATGGATTAAGACACGGATAGTTGGGTGCCCTAAAATAATAATATCCATTTAATTGCCTATGCTAGTCCTCATTCTGTTTCATTTGAACCAATGGAGCTAGCTCTGGTGAAAATCTTTTTCTCAGACTAATCTCACATAGCCAGTCTTCCTATTTCACCATTCCCCTTGTGTTCCAGTTGTTTTGAACATTATTTGTTTTTCAGATCCTTGTTCTGGAGATTCCACAGATTGGGCTTACAATGAAGGAATAAAATATTCGTTCAGCTTTGAACTTCGTGACCGTGGCCAATATGGTTTTCTCCTGCCTGAAAGTCAGATAAAACCTACCTGTATGGAAACTATGCTGGCAATCAAAGTACTTGCCAAGTACATTGTCAACAATGATCAGTGAACACTTGGTCACACTTCCTTACAAAATAAATTCTCTCTTTCTTGGCTGCAATTGTCTCCTTGATTCTACCAGTAATTATAGATTCTCTTTTCTGATTTTTCTATTCCACTGATATTTTGTTGAGTTTCCCTTTGATGTCTTTCAGCACTAATTAAACTTTGAAAATGCAGTGTGAAGGACAAATTTCCTAATGGATTTATTTTATTCAAGCATATGAAAGACATTTGCTGAATAACTGTTAGCTCTCTTCTTAGTGAATTCCCGGATTTGCCCTTTAATGAAGATATCTCTGATAAATCTGATGACGATTCCTCCATTGTTCTGTGTTTGAATATTTGTTGCCTGCACCAAATTTAGTTTTTTGGCCTGGCCTGCTCATCTAGAACATAAACTTTTAAATCTCTTGGCAGCTATTCTGAATTATATCACAGCTACTTTCCTTCAATATTACTTTCTCTGGATGAAATATACATAAAGATAAGAAATATACATATAAACACAGAAAAGGAACTGATCATAGATCTTTCTCACCCCATCCATCAGTCATTTAGCAAAACCTGTTTGTGAGAGTTGACCAGATGAAGATCCAAAGTAGCACCATCGTATCATAGTTCAATGGAAACCTATGAAGAAAAGAGGTCTCAATTCTCAACAGCTATGGGTATGGCCTTATGATTCTCTCCTAAAATATCAGAATTTAGCTTACATGTATCTCTCTGTCTGTGGAGATTCTCAGTTATCCAGCTCATAGTTATATATATATATAAAAACACCCAGTCCAGTTGTCCTTTGAAAAAGCACCTTTGAGACATATATCTGTCCCAAAATAAACTTTGCTGCTGAGTTTTTTCTGACAATGAAAGAAGATCTTGCAACTATCAATTGGAAGGCTATTCCATCTTTTCTTCCTAAACCATTTGTTTTGTGCTAAGAAAAAAAGAACATGGGAAAATAAGTGAGTTACAAAGAGAAGACAATGACATTTGGTCTCCCCTCAGTTCAGTTCTGGGAATGAAGCAAGATAATTGCACAATAACAGCATTGTCTCAAGGCATTGTATTTCTATTTAGTAATTCAGTATTAATGGGTTCACTGCATTTACATGTTCAGTTCATCACTTAATGTGCCACCATTCATTCACTTTGCAAGAACTAATCTATATTTCATACACAATCCAGCAAACAGCTAACTAAATTAGAACCAATTTATTGTTAAAGGCAAGGATAAAATTCATTTTGACTCTGAAAAACAAACCCACGGTCCTATTTTAACTGAAGTAGCAAAAGTAAATTTGAATGGACACATTTTATTTTATTTTCTATTTGGCCGCTTATAGTTATTCCTTCCTTTTACAAAATGTTTGCTATTGGTATTACTTGCTTAGCAATACTTCTCTTAATAAATCTGGTGCATCAAACAAAAAACTTACTATTTCGTAAAATCAAAGTCCTATTATACCTTGTTTTGTTGCCTGGATAGTTCAGTTATGATTAGAATATAATCTTAGCATCCTTCATACTCATGAAGGAAATATTTTTACTTGGCCAACTAAGTCACCAAACATTGTACAAGTTTATCAACCTTTCATCATACAACAGTGGACACTGCATTTTTTTAAAAAAATCGTCAGATGAAATTGACCAGCATTCTGCCGTTTTCTAGACCAGCTTTAAGTTTGTGGACTTCAACAACCAGAATTCCAGAAGTTATGGAATATTTTTATTTATTTGATTTGTCAATTGCTTACAAGATACAGGTACAAGAATAAACATAGTTTTGAATACATGAGATAGATACTTATAAGAAAAATAAAAAGAAACAATAGGACAGGGATGGTAGGCACGATTGGTGTGCTTATGCACGCCCCCTACAGGCTTCTTAGGAAGGAGGTGAGGTCACTAATAGACAGTCTAAAGTTAAAGTTTTGGGGGTTTGGGGAAGAAACCACAGAGTCAGGTAGAGTATTCCAAACATTGACCACTCTGTTGCTGAAGTCATATTTTCTGCAGTCAAGTTTGGTGTGGTTAACCTTGAGTTTGTATCTATTGTGTGCTCTTGTATTGTTATGATTGAAGCTGAAGGACATTGCAATGTATGATTTTATATACTATATTTAGATCGGACCGGAGGCGGCATAGTTCTAGGTTTTCTAGGTCCAGAGTTTCAAGTCTGGTGGCATAGGGTATTCTGCAATGAGTAGAGGAGCAGAGAACTCTTGTGAAATATTTCTGGACTTTTCCAAGTGTGTTAATATCAGATACATTATGGGTTCCAGACTGATGAGCTGTATTCAAGTATAGGTCTAGCAAATGTTTTGTATGCTCTAGTTAGTACTGTGATATTACCAGAGAAGAAGCTATGTAGGATTAGATTAACAACTCTTAATGCCTTTTTGGCTATGTAGAATACTGGATTACAGACTTATAAAATAGATACTTAGTCTGCTAAGTCAGCCAACCACCAAGAGAATGAGTGATTGAGCTCTCTATAGAATGTTGGGAAAGCATTCTTCAGTTACTATGACACACAGATACACAAGCACTAATTTAAAGGAAAATGGCCGTTAGACATTCTTCCTGTGCAGATATACCACAGTCCAAATCATTCAGAAGGGGTAGAGTTAATTTCTTATTCAAATTTCATACCTTTTGATTGGGATGGGGTAACTGATTATCCAGTATGATAATTCTAAGGCAGTATTCTTCCTCACATTCTGACCCTGTTTTCTTGACAAATCATTTCCATTGTGTAGCCTCTGGGATATTTAGAAGAAATGGGAAAAGCACTAGAGAGTACCAGCTCAGATTTATATAAAGAGCCTAACTGAACATAATATTTAATTGAAAAGGTTAAATCATCTCAAGAAAATCAGTAGCATCTGGAAAGAAAGAAAAATAGCAAAAATATTTAAATAATTCCAACTATATCACGCCTTATCTTCATATGATACTTTCAATTGTCATTTTTATCTCATGCAAAAACTATAGTCAACGTTAATTATCTCACCTATCTTAGCTAAAAGATGGGGAAGGATCAGTGCTTGTTTGATTTTTATTTAGTTGGGCCAATCTTTTCTTGAAAAAAGTGAATGAGATAGTTAAATATTCTTAGACAAAAGCTGAGATTCTTAGACAAAAGCTTACCATTTGTTTTATTCAGGACTGTTTTTAATATAGGAACAGCCTTAGCTCTCAGAGAAATAACCTATGCTTCAATCCCATTTATACCCAAGGCTCAGTTCCTTTTAAAAGCAGTATCTAACTTAGAATCCAAAAAATTTCTGATGCCATAACACCTTGTCTTCAGGTTCCTTGGACATCTGCAGGCAAGCAAATTGCAAGGACAGTGGAGAACATTGCATTTCTGATATTTCTGATACTGTCACTATTGTCTTTTCAGTACTAGGCAATACTTTTTAAGGTGCCCAGACAAGCTTTTTAATCAAGGTTGATGAATTTATTATTCTGTCTGGAAAATATAGTTTGCAATTTATTTGTATTTTCATTTTTTTCTTGGGTTGAAAAAAACAATCTCAAAACACTGCTAAATGGAATATGAAAATAAACATGAAAAATTATTTTTAAAAGAAAAATAAGAATATTTGAATGGTTTCATATAATGTTGGGAGTAAGAAGCACAGTGACCTAGAGGTGAAGACTCTTGCCTCCCACTTGGAAGGTTGAGAGTTCAATCCTAAGCAGCGGCAGATGTTTCTTTCTCAGGGCGCAAAGAGAAAAATATCTGCTGCAAACTTTGCATAGGCATCAGGAAGGGTATCTGGCCAATAAATACTCAGCTTCATTCAGTTGCCCCGACTCCACCCTTAATAAAGGGATTAATGGGTTGTAGAAAGGAAAAAAATGTTGATCATCTATCTGTCTATCATCTGTCTTTTTGTCTGACTGTCTATCATCTATCCAATGTTAAGAGTGCTTAAAAGCTAAACAAGACTCTCACTGGGCATTTCTTCCCTCCCAAAAAAGATCAATTTGAAAGGATTTGACTTTATCATAACCCTACTGGGACAACAAAAGATCAACCCTCACCCACATCTTGAGACTCCAATTACTAGCAGCACACTGTGACTACATTTATATGTATATGAATATATATTAATAGCAAGAGACACTTCATGTTCTATCTGGTTTAACACTCATAAAAGTTATTTCTTGGCTATACACCTGGAATTGCCTTAGGAAGATTTTGGCTTCTCTGCATCTTTCAACATATGCAAAAAAGCATATGAACATTTTTTAAAAAAAAAACCTCCTGCCCCATATATCCATGGCATTCCTGACTACCAGCATCCCTGATTAGTGATTTTATTGGCTTAGGCTGCTTGGAATTGTGATCCAACACATCTGAACTTCTCTTTTATTTGTTTGTTTAAAAGTTCATTCACTTTGTGTCATTAAAAACAAACCCCCAAAGCAGGAAAAACAAACAACACAATTAAAAACTGTTTTCAATGCATTGAAAACCATTAAAACAACAGCAATTTAGTAAAAGCCTGTAAAAGTAGCTGCTTAAAGTTATAAACAGTTTAAAAACTATGAAAGAGAACAGGATTATGCTGAATCAGGTCAAAAGGCACAGCAGGTTCTTAGTCAAAAGACAACTCTTTCTGCAACCAATTCCTATATGCTGGGTAAGAAGTCATAACTAAAGGCATCTTGAAGTTTAGAAGTCTTCGCTATGAGAAGCTATCAGAAAATGCCCAGCAAGTAAGTCAGTTCAAAAGTTTGTGGACAAGGGTTGATAACAACTGGTTAAAAATAAAATATTTCCTTAAAACTTAGTCTGCTAGTATATAATAAAAAGAAATACTTGATTGCACAACGCTGATCCTAAACATACGTAAATAAAAATAGCACCATGAGATCATGTTCCATGCCATGGCTAGTTTATCCAGGAGAATTAAATTCTTCCTGGCCTGTACTCTGAATAAGTGCAGCCCAGAGGCAAGAAACCCACATGGGAGAAGGAATTAAAGTAAGGGCAATTGTTCCAAAAAGTGAGAAAACAGGTAGCGAATTAAAAGTCTACAGTTTGATTTCATTTAGCTACACTCTTAAAAGAACAAATTAAACCTTACTTTCTTGAATTCACATACAGGTAGAAGGAAACATAGCTGTTTTTAGGAAAAGATTCTCTCTCTCTCTCTCTCTCTCTCCCTCCCTCTCTCCCTCCCTCCCTCTCTCCCACTCTCTCTCTCTCAACATGTCACTCC